AAATAAATAGTAATTTATAATTGCAAATATGTATCTTTAAATACGAATTTTCACTAGTAATTTTAATTTGTTATTGTATACACGTGCATTTCCATAAACTGATATGTATTCAAAAAGAAATCTGTATGTGTTCCAAAAAATTTATAAACCGATATTCGTAATGACGAATTTTGGAACATATGACTACAGAACAAAACATTTTAATTTGATAGTTTTAGGATCAAAGACTTTTGTAGCTTATCAAAAATTTTATAAAAATTAAATAATTCTACATTTTAAATGTGAATATAGGCAATATCCACGTGCATCTGATCACGCGTGCTTGATGAAGATTTATTCTAACCTTAAATTTATATACCTTCAAGTTTCCTTAATTCTTTGAGGTGTATCAATTATTTGTGTAAATATACTTTCGCAAACATAAATTATTACGATGACAATGCAAGTTCCTACAAATGTGGATCCTGAACAAATAAAATCTGTATGTATCTGTAGTTATTTCATACATTATTTCATAAAAAAACTGCATTAAATGAACGTGAATCAATGATCAACGTGTTCATATACCTTGGTGTGAACGTAAACGATTACGAATTTTGTTATGTAAAAATGAAAATAAAATATATTTAATAAAGATTTTAATTGTTAGAACTTTGTATTATTTCAGGTTCGAGATTTTGTGGTATCTTATAATAAATTAACAGAAACTTGTTTTCTTGATTGTATACATGAATTTACTAGCCGAGATGTTAAAACAAAGGAAGAAACCTGTGCTCTAAACTGTATGGAAAAGTTTTTGAAAATGAACCAAAGAATATCTCAACGGTTTGAGGAATTTCAACTGCTTGCTAATGAAAATATACTTGCGGCTAAAAAAAAATTAAACGAAGATATAAGTACTTGAACATTGTATTAATAAAGTGTTTAAATTAATTATTTTTCACATTTTACTTGAATACAATTTTACCTTTGTTTGTTAATTATAAACAAAATGACGTTATTAAAATCATAAATAAGTAATAATTAGATTTAGAATTAATAAAATTTTTATTCTGTTTTTGTTGTATATTATTTTATTCAAATTCTATAATTTTTATGTTTAAATTAATGTTAGATTAATGTTTAAATTGATTAAATAATTATATCTCAGTTACTAATCAACAAATTAATAAATTTATTAACTTATTACCAGTTTACTTAAAGGTTTTCAAAAAATTTATATATTTAAATACATTTACAGTTGAGACTAATGTAAGAAGTTTATATCGAACATTTACCTTTTTTTATATAATGTAAATAAAAATTCCTGCTTATAAATATTAAAAAAGTTATACATAAAAGTATCATCTGAATATACACATAAACAATTTATTTCAAAAAACAAATTCATTAACAAAAAATTTCATTTGGTTTAACTGGATTTTGAATGATTACAATCGTATAATTTTGGTTTTCCATGAATTTCAATATCCATGCTATTTGAATCCCATTTAAAGTGGGAAAATTGTGGTAAAGCTTGCAGTGAATCTAAATTTGACAAAGGATTTATAATTTGTGAAGCAAAACCAGTATTTGAAATTTGATGTTCTTGATTATGTGCTATTAATTCTGAATTAGGTGAATTTGGTGGAGTTCTTCTTAATCTCTTATAGCCAGAAAATCGGTTAAATGATACTTGATCTACGCAAATAGCTTGTGTGGTATATCGAGTTTTATACAAAATTGGACACCCTAAATCTCCTTTTAAACTTAAACTATACAAATTTGCAAGTCGGCGAAGTTTTTCTCTCTCAGGCTGTCGCATAGGATGTAATCTAAGTTCGTTTTGTGTAGGATCTTGTAAAAATCTGGAAACTTTTTCATTAGCTGATGTGATAATCGAATATCCAGGTTTATTGTCAACATGACGACGACCAGCACGGATTTCTCTTCCGCTGAAACCTTCCCGAATTCTTTGAATTCTTTTTCTGCAATTTTTTCTGGTTTCAACTGTTGTATGTTCAAAATTTCCATGTATCATCATTTGAAATGGTGAATCAGTATTAACTTTATCCTCATTAGTACTTTCACCATCATCCCACCAATTTGGTTCCCCAATCCAATCTGACTGTTCATCATCTCCTAAAGACAATAAAATTAATTAGTTGTAATATTTATTATTTGTATGAATAATTTAATACCTTCTCGATCTTCATCATTTGTGATAAGTCCAGTTTCTGAATCACTAGATGAAATGCTTGAACTGGATATTCTTGAGCACTCAATACTATCTTCAGTTTGCATTCTAATGTGATTTTTTGATTTTGCATTTCTGTTTGGTTCTAGTGATCTCATATCACAATCTATAGATCGCTCTCTACAAGACCTCTTACGTTTCCCACACCTGTAATAAATAAATTATTTTTAAAGCTATTTAAACTTTTTATTTCAATTTATTTTGGAATTCAATCTTTTATTGATATACTGATATTTGTATTAATATGTATTACCATATTGTTCCGTATCTATTTTTACAATCACTTCGAAGAATTCGTTTTTTATTTGAAAGCGTTGCTGATATTGCCACAGCATGAGAAGTTGAAGGATTAGAATCAGAATCAATAGCCATTCTTTTAAATTTTCGTTTACGTCGCGGATTTACTCTAGGTACAAAATTTTCATTAACTGAATCACTTTCAATGTTACTAGCATTATTTGAATTAGAAAAACGTGCAAATCGTTTTGTTTGATTAGTATCATCACTATCAGACTGATATTTGGAGACAGTATTACTTTTTGGAATATGGATGTCACAAATGGAAGATGAACTGTCATCTGATTGTTTATTCATATGAAGTGATGCTGAAATAAAAAATAATTATTTAATGATTATTTTTCAAATTATTTTATTATTTTTTAAGTATTAAAAATTACTTTTCAAAGATTTATAAAATTTGACTTCTTTGAACAATGAAATATGGTTTCTATAAAGACAATCTTGATAACAATCCTCTGTCTGCCTTATAGAAGTAGACTGGAACTGATTTCATAGAAATGTGATTAGAAAATATGCATTTTGATCCATTTTAAGTTTTATTTGAGACGCATTTACATAATAATTAACTTATGGAACATTCAAATAGTTTTCCAGGAAAAGTTATATCTTATATTTTTGTTGCCTTATACTTACGAATATTACCCGTGGAACGAGCTCTTCTTCTAATACCCCATCTGCGTCTCATAATTGCACTACTATTGCTTTCTTCTAATGCCAAAGTTAAATCATGCACAAGTGCCTCCATTTTTACTCTTAAGTCCGCTGGTACAGCTTTCAAAACACGCTCCATTTGAAGGATGTGTTTATTTCTACGTAATGATAAATATAATATGATTTCATACAGTGTCATAATGATATTAAAAACCTGTTATGTAATAAACTTTAATTAAACAACTATTTTATTAAGTCATTATTATGATATTATAGATAACTTAAAATTTTCTGATTCATTAAATATTTTCTTATAAATATATAATTATATTTAAAACAAATATATATATCTTATATTTATTGGTTTCTACATATCATCTCAAATATCCAAATTAAAAATATGTCATTTAAAAATGAATTCTAAAGTTATACAATATTTATTCTTTCTAATAAATTTATTTTATATATATTTTATTGATTGGTAATAAATTTTAATATAAAACGATAAATAAATAAAGTATATTTTAATATTAAAAATATTTATATCATTATTAAAAATAATAATTATCAAAAATAAATTGGTAAACTTAGAAGAAATTTAGAGTGCATCGTATTTTAATTCGTGACAAGATAGAAAAACACAACTTTATGTGCACCTTTTATATATAATTGCGGAAAATTTAAATTTTCTCTAAATTAATAACATCGTTAAGTAATGTTTATATTAGTTGACAATTAAAAAAAGAACAAAATAAATATCAAAAAACTGTCAATTCCAAAAGTGTTTTCACTATGCGCCACAAATCTTCTCTGCTTCTTTATTTTGCAGTAGTGTGAAACTGTAATTGATAATGATGCATGTGTGTGCCTTCATACTCGTACAAGCAATAATTTGGTCATGGTTCAACTAATTTACCATGGGTATGTTCTAAAATTAAACAAATGTTAACAAGTTTCATTTTTGTAGATATATATAAATAAAATAAATAATGTAAAAGTTGAGTGCATTATTTATTAAGTATTATTAAATTATATTTAATTATTAAGTATTTACTAATCATTTCTAGATATACAACAAATCAGATTTAGCATAAACAGTACAAAATATTTTATTACTCACATATATTTTGTATTACTATTGTTATCGAAGTAATATTAATTGTCAATAATTCAAAATTATATATAGAATATTGCATTGAAAATTGCATACATTGAAAATGAGCCTTTAACATATTTTTTTCGGCCATTTCCGGTTGTGTGTTTTACGGACGCTTCGTGTCTGTCCGAGGATATTGTCGTTTTTCATTTGTACAGTTTAAACTACGTTTATAGAAAATTAAGTAATTTTTGCTACAATATAGTTCTCTTCGTCATTTCAGGGTATAAGTGTGGTGTAATAGCGTAATGAGAAATTGCTTGAAATCATATGAAGGAAAATCCTGGCGGTTGTGTAAATAGCGCGTAGTGGTGTCTGCGCGTACGTTATGCGCATTCGCAGACAGATGAGCGCGGGATTGTGGTACCCAGACGCGAGGGGACTGTAGTATCATTGCTTATGTGTAGAAACGTTTGATGGAGTCTTTTATGAAGTGACAAATAACACGAAATTAACGTTTTTCACACATCGGTCATTGTAGTACGTAGGATCAGTGTTTGGTCCCAAAGGGGCCACACGATGGACGGTGCCAATGTGAATGGCGGGAATGCTGTTGGATCGCACGAGAATCCTAACCTAGAAGGTGGTAATATGCCGGATCTACAGGAGACTCAAATTAAAGTGGAAACAGCCACTAAAATGGACGGGCAGGAGGTGAACGGCGACATTAAAAGTTCATTAAAAAAGGGTACGGAATTAGATATTAGAAGAAAACTACGTAAGTTCATGGTTAATTCAACTAGTACCATTGAAAGTGATACAACATTAAATACAAAAGGACGCAAACGGAAGCTATCGGAACTGGACGATGTAAGCTCGGAGGAGTCTATGGGATTCAATGGATTTGATTTACAAGGGGCAAATGAAATAGAACCAGCAAGACATGTTTTGAAGAAACTAATTGGTATTGGTGATTATTATGTTATGTCCTATTGAAGATGCAAATCACATTGGTTATCATTAAATGTCATGTTTCAAGAATGAATGATTATGCTATGTTTACAATAGACCATTATTTTTATAGATATGTGCTATTTAATAAATTATAATTTTAGTTAATTGTTTAATATTTGAAATCAGAATTAAACACTTTCATGTTAATAATATTTTGTTTTTTAGTATTATAAATAAGATTTAAAATTTTATAAACATAATTTATAATGGGATATTGTATATTTAACATGATCGTATGATATAAACAAAATTATAATATAAATATATATTAATTTCTGAAGTTTTTTTTATTTAAATTATACAGATACATTGAAATTCAAAAGATTTCTGATGGAAATATTTACAAAAATTTAGATAGCATTTATATAATTTATTACAGCTGAAGCTGAAGTAGCAGAGGCTCAATTAGCAAAACGATTTAGATATAGTATAAGGAAAAATTTTGATATCAGAAAGGATGAGGATGATTCGGATGACAATAGAGTGCATGATGCTGAACATGTATTAGATCTAGATAAAGTAAAAAAAGAAAAAGAATCTGATAAATCTGAAACAGATTCAGTTGGAATACCAAATACCGTAGAGTCAGAATTAGAAGTACAAAAAACAGATGAAACTTCACTTAAGTCAACAAATTCGTCATCAGCAGCTAGTAGTCCAGCAGCATCAATAAAATCTAAAGGTGTTCGTATATTACGTGGAGTCAGTCCAGGAAGCACTGGAAAACAAAAAATAGCTGTTGATATGTCAAATCCAGCATTCAAAGAACCATTTAAGTATGGTTGGAAACGAGAATTGGTATTTAGAGCAAGTACTGATTCTACCTTAAAAAGAATGGCTGATATCTATTATTATACACCAAAGGGAAAAAAGGTTAGAAGTTTTAGAGAAGTTGCAGAATTTCGTAAGTATAGTTTTTATATTAGTAGTAATTTAATGTAGATAATAGTCGTAATAATACAGTATGTTTTTTCCAGTTAATACAAAAGAGTTAACTATTGATAATTTTACATTCTTCAAAGAACCAATTGGTCTTGATGACCCAGAGAAGGAGATCATTCGAGATGCAAAAAGAATAAGGGTATATTCAGTTGCTTTTCTATTGTTTACTATATTTATTAAGATTTTATGAAATATTGTAATTTGTACATAGGGATCTGGAGTATCTGCTACTCCACCTCGGAGAGGTTTCGCATATAAGAAAGGTACACCTGGCAGAAGGGCTGTAGAAGAGCCTGCACCAATGCCTGCTCCAGTGCCTGCAAAACCTATTGTTAAATCACCAAAAGCTGTACCAACAGGATTCAAAGTGAAAGTGCTTGCAAAGAAAACTCCACACAAAAGTATGTATTAATTTTAGCATGAATTACTATTTATTAATTAATATTTATATTGTATAAATACTCTTTGTATTCTACAAAGTAATTATTACTACTGAAATTAGTTTATGACATTAATGCATTTCTTAAGTAAATATTTTTTTCCTTGCTAATCATTATACATAAAATAATTTTATTTACCTTTAATATGTGAAATATCTTTATATTTAAATTTTAAACTTGTAAATTATTTGCTATATATTTTGTTTATTACTTTATGCTAATAAAATTCAGATTTCTTATTCAGATAAAATTAATGTAAATTTTTATATATAATTTTTGGTATATAAAACTTATTTTTACGAGAATTTTTATTGAAATATGTATAGCAGAAATAAAGTCACCTCCTCAAGAAAGTGAAATACTTCCACCTCAACGGACACCGAGTACAAGAAGAAGTCAAATACATGTAGAAAAACCACTGCCTCCAAAACCGAAAAGACAATTAACGTAAGTACCTGGTTTTATAATTATTCTCATTATAATGTTTAACCATAATTAATTTGCAATATTCAAGGGTATCTTAAATGCTTAGTATATAAATTTGGTAATAATCATGTTCAATGTGCTTTCAAAAGGCCCAATGAAGAAATTACAGCATGTGCATTTATTATATTTTTTTTATGAAAAGAAAAAAAAAGACTTGGAATTTTTATGTATTCAACATATAATGTACGATGTATGAAGATATACAAAGTAAATTACATGAAAATTAAGTAAATAATATTGTTAATGTATAAATTTTTAATGTAAAATTTTTATTATGATTTTATACTAATTACCATTTAAAAATTAACATATTTGGTTGCATTTTAGTTCCATATATTTCAACTATTTACACGAAATTTTGTTGAATAATTGCAATATAAATTTTTCTTCTACGAACATGATAAAAAGTGAATTTTACATTTTGCATTATAAGTTAAAGGATATATTAAAGCACATTTTATTTTGATAATATTAAAATGCATGTTGTATAGCAAATATATATAATTGCAGAGTTCAAAATTTTATTTTGAAATAGTACAAACTTTCCTTCTGTATTTTTCATAACTATATCCTTCTTTATCCCTTTGATCCTTAAATCCCTTATTTAAATTTTGTGTTTTATTCCTTAATCCCTTTCCCCAATCAACGCACATCTTACAGGCCCAAAGTTCAAGAACCGTGCAGTATAAGGTGCTCAACAAGTATGGGGTTGATACCAAGCTTACAATGTCGTGTATGTCTCTGTTTATATCATCCTGAATGTGTTGATGGTATGGAATTTGCAGGAAGTGATGATTATGTTTGCAAGGTAGGTTGTTTTGTAATTGAAAATATGTTTTTCTTAAATTTGTTTTTACTTATTAAATAGTTTCTTTATTAATAAATTGATATTTGTAATATTTTTTTATAATATCATGCATATAATTTGTTTTATAATTTTAAGAGATGTTATTTAAATAATATTTTGATAATTTATTATTTATGACTATTTTTAAGTCACACTGACTTTTTATTAAATATACTTTAATAAAATTAAATAGACTTTTTTAATATACTGTGATTGATAATAGTTATATTTTAAATAAGTAATATTAATTTTGTTGTAGAACTGTCAGCAGGATACTAATGAATCTCATCAATCTCAAACAAATCCATCTTTAACACCACCTCCATTGATACCAATTAGTATGTTAGGTGCACAAAGTGCAAAATCAAAACATCAAGTAAATTTAAGTCCACCAAAACTTCAACGAATTCCCAAATCTGATAATGCAGATACACAGTCGCGAAATATTACCAAAGTTTCAAAAACATCCTCCACAACACCACATTCCTCTTTAAATTCAGATAATAAGGAAAGCAGTTGGTTTGCTCAAACAGAAAATGAATTTTTACAAAGTCATGATGGAACTTTACCAAAACCAGCCCAGAATATTGCTTTAATGGGGGGCAAGAGATATATTGTTGTTCCAAAAAATAATGCTATGGCTGTCCAACCAGCTATAACAGTAAAACCTGATAAAATTGGTGACAAACCTCCTGTACTTCAAGATGGCATGCCTACTGATATATCAAATGCTGTTGACAATTCTATGTCTACAAAATCACGTATGTCTTTAATGACAAAGCTTCTGGGGAAAGATAGTTTTGATAAGACAGTTGATAAGGATACAATAAAAGATGTATCACATACAGAACTTCCATCAGATTCTATAACAGAGGAAACTGAAGAAACGTGCAATAATAATGATAGACCTGACACATTAACTGTAAGCAAATCACAAAATGATTTGCCCAATTCAACAGATTTTACATTAGAAACTAAGAAAGCAGAAAATTGTAAAGCACCTGAAAGGAAGAGTATAACAAATAATTCAAATACAACTAGTACAAAAAATGATCTATTTAAAGTAGATACACAACATTCAGTGACAAATAGTTTGGGTACTGTTAAAATAAGTAGCAAGTAAGTGTTTGTTTTTCAAACACTCATGCATATTTCTTTTACTTCCTTTTTTAAATATTTTCTCCAAATAAGTTAAGGCAACTCTCTTTTGAGGTTTTGGCAGTTGCTTTGTACATATTGTATTTACAAGATATATGTTTTCCAGTGATTAATTTTGTATGATATATGTGTACATATTAGAAACTATTTCATTTTATTTTAACATTTTTATAAATTTTATAAAATTGTTGCTGTAGAATGATTCTAAAGAATGTTGGAAAAAGAATATAACATATGCGTCTATATATCTTTTTTCATGTCATACAAAATTTATACAAATAGTATTGTAAATGCAATATATACTCATGTTTATTATATTTGGAAATATAAAAGTTCGTGGTGAAAAATGAATTTGATTTTATCTTGTGATCGAAGCACACTGCCTTAGCTTCTTAGAAATGCGGCCAAATTTTTGAGACATGTGAAAAATGAACAAAACAATCACATATCGTTGGTTCTTGCAGGTATTGTGTAATTGTAGCATCAAAGTAAAAGTTTGTATTTGAATTGAAAACTTTTTTTGAAAATATATATAGAAAATTGAATAATGTACTATTTACATTTATGCTACAATTGCAAATACAGCTACTGATAAGTGCTTCAGTGGAAAAAATCTAATTCATTTTTACTTTTTATATTTACAGATATAAAGACATGTGCGAGCTGAAACACAAAAAACTCTTAGTGCGTTTTCCCAAAAACATCCTAAAATCCTTGTTCCTCATGATATCCACCTCCTATTTATGTTTGTTTTTTTTTGTTACTATACCTTCATTTTATTTTAAAAAAATATAAATTTTCGACCTTTGAAATTTTTTTCAGAGGCTTTTACTTATACTTCTTATTTAATACAGTATAAAATTGTTGTCATTATTGTTGTAAATCATTGGTCCTTTAAAAGCCTCTTTAAAAATTACAATATTCTTTCATTGATATTGCATATAAAATATTTCATTAGCAATGTAAAATTACTTTTTTTTTTAATTATAACCAACATTATACATGTAAAAGATGATACCCTTATTACGTAGGCCGATATTTAAAAAAAAATTAGCTAAATGTATTTTTATTTTAATACTTTCAGAAGGAAACAAAATCAGCAGGATACAGAACAACAGCAGCATTTTATGGATTCAGTTTGTGCTGGTTATCATGCATTATTACGCATTTTTCAATATCTTAAGGTTCAAGAATTACTCCGAGCTGCAAGAGTATGTAAAATGTGGCGTGATTTAGCTGCACATCCTTCTTTGTGGAAGACTGTACGAATGAAAAATAGTCAAGTAACAGATTGGGATGGTTTAGCAGATACATTACAAAGGCGTGGTACTCAACATTTAGATCTTCGGAAAATGCTTGTGGCAGGAGAATCTGACAGCATCTGGAAAAAATTTTTAGTTGTAATACCACGTGTAACTAGCCTTGTCAAATTAGAATTATGTAAATGTCCTGTGATGGTTGTTGAAGAAGTTATTGGGAGTTGTCCTCAGTTAGAAGTATTGAGTGCAATGTCGATAAAATGTGACTCCTTAAGTTTAGAATCAGTTGGAAATCTTAAATGTTGTCAAGAATTAAGGCTCAAAGCAATCAGTGGGATGTCTTTACAAGAAGATCTTACACCATTACAAGAATTAACGCAACTAACTCAATTGGTTAGTGCAATTACTTTGTTTCCATTTTTCTGTAATTGCAGTTGTATTGTTTTTTCAGATGTTTAAATTAAATTTTTATTTCAGAGTTTAACATCAGTTAAAGAACTTGGAAAGAAAAGGATCGATATAATACAAGCTTTAGTGAATTTAGAAACACTAGAATTGGGTGAATGTTCAGATTTTCCAGATAAATTTGGTACTACAGTTTTAATAAAGTTACAAAAATTGGAACGTCTCAGACTTGAAAAGGGACAAGGATCGTGTTGTACATTCGATATTTTGGATGGTGTATCTAAGTTACAAAATTTGAGTCAAATGGAATTGGTCAATTTTGATGTCAAAAATGGCTTTGATAAATGCCTTGCAAACTGTAAAAATATTAAAAGGCTATTGATTATACCAACGTACATATCTCAATCAGCAACGTCTAACAATATGGTGCTGGGAGGTGTCACTGAACTGTCAAATAATTTGACACATTTTGTATGGGGTGTTACACTTGAGTTACTTAGGGTTACAGAATTGTTTGTTGATCAATGTAATTTAATGAGTAAACAGATTACTGGTGACTCGATACCAGTTTTAAAACCGGTACCCTGTCTAAAATTAATTGAGGACGTTGAGGATGAAAATGACAATCAAAAAGGTATAGCTTATATACAAATACGTATATCTTTATATGCATTACATGAAAAAAAATATAATGTATTTTTCAATTAATTTTATGTACTTTCTTTTATTTTTCAGGTGATGATAAACAACAACCAAATTTAACAAATCCTCAAGTGGATATATTACCATTGCCTCAACTTCAAAAACTTTTACTAACTGCATTGCCTAAAACAAGGGTTAAAATCTTGAAGATTCCTTTCCATGCTACGTGGCGGCAAAGCATTTCAGATACTGCTACACAATAGAAGAAAATATAATAAAGTGTATGAATACATATACTAAAATGGAAAGAAAAATACCTGATATGAGAGAATTAGAAGTTTTGTAAATTTGACTCCATAATGTCTGCACAATTTACTCCAATACTTACAAATTGGATGAAAAGTAATTTAATATTTATGTACTATGTGTTTTGTAGTCTTTAACAATTCCCCTTGAATAGTGTATTGATACACTCTACAGTAACCATAAATACTGTTCTCCTCAAAGCTTTTAGTGATAAAAACAGGGGACCATAAATGCATCGCGTGCTATTTTGGCTGAAAAGCAAAATTTCATGAGAAGCTGGGATCCTTGTGCAAATTGTTTAAAAATGATGAAAGTCTTAATATATCTAGACAACAGTACTTTGAACGTATGGTCCGCAAATTATTTGGTATACTGTAATGTGTATCTATGTGAACAGAATTATCTAAATCATAGAAAGAGAACTGTAAATGTTTAAAATAATTATATGAAATTAAGGTTTATAAAAATACCGCACACATTTATTAAGGGGATGAAATATATAATTTTCAGTTTTTACCAAGTGTAGGGCAAATGTATTTATGACATACATAATGCATCGAGTCAAAACAAACTGTAGTTTTAATTTCGTGATACATAATTTCGATAAATTTCTATTGAAGTAGCAGTGAAAGAGGAAATCATGTGGTCTATAAGGCTCTATTTAGAGGTTAGGCTGTATAAATAACGGTATATATTGTAATTGTATGTGTATCTTTAATATTTAAGGTACGAGTTTTCCGCTGCAAAGAAATATTAAGAAGTTTATGAGTAATGTTATAGAATGTGTAATATACTTATGATTCTGCATATTGCATAGTCAAATATAATATTATAAAGATGTAGTGATTTATGTGTACTCAGTACAAATTACGCAATTATGATAAATTTCCTAACCAGGATATTTGAATTTTCTGGTAATTATTATAGATATTTCTTTCTTCCTTCTTTTACTTTTTTTTATTTCTTTAATACTATTTTCAGAAATGGTGCATCAGTATGATATAAAATTAAATTTTATATCGAGATAATAAGAATAAACGTGAAAAATTTTTATTATAAAAGAATTGCATATATAATTTTAAAATAGTATAAAATCTAGTTCACAGGTAGTGAGTAATAGATAAAATATTTCAATGATATTAACTGTTACATCAATTTGTTTTTAAATACGTCGTACTATTCGCTCATGCTTTGGTTGCTTTTTGTAAAGGAAATTTTACAATTAGTCTTACTTTGCAGCGGAAAAATTGAATTGTTTTATTATATTATTTTTAGTTGTACACAAACCGAATAATTTATAAATATTAAGGGGGTTCTAAAAATGTACTCTTAGTAAACGACTTAAATATATAAAAGAAGATATTTTTTACGTTAAATATAAAATGTGAATATTATGGAATTAACTATAAGGATAAATATACATGGCTGTTAGCCTTGAGACGAGTATTACAAATAATTTTATATCAAATTAATAAATGTTAAACTATTAATAGATGATATATATCTTTTTCCAAATTTTGTTTCATTTGTCATTTTAAATTTTGTATCTTTTAAATTTAATTCGTTTCTTTTTATTGTGCATTTTTAGTTATACAAGATTATCAATTTGATTTGCAAAATTTAACATTTCCGTTATTTTACACATATTTAACATACTCGTGATATTATGTCATGAATAATATACATATGCATTCATAAATACATACAGAGGAATAATGTAGAAAGTAAATTTTTATTTTATGTTTGTAAATAACTATTTCGTGACCTATGTTTTTAGATCCTCCTTAATGATAATTTTATAAGTACAATATAAAGGCAATATAAATTTATTCTTAAAGATTTATCAAATCATCTGTTTATTTGCATACTTTGTACAATACAAATCTTATACAAAAAAGAAACTTGTGTTATTTATGCTTTGTGTACTACTTCACTCTGATAAATAATTTTAGGGGAATGTATAAAAGTGGAAAAGATATTTAAGTTTATATATATACGCATATGTATACTTGCAAATGTAAATATATGCGTTTTTAGAAAGAGATATCATATTGCATAAGTTTAACGCTAATGATATAAAATTGAAATTAAATAAAATCACTCTTTATTATGTCAATACAATAATACGGCTGATTTTACCGTTGAATATACATATATTCAATTTGTTCAGGAAATGACAATGGCATATATCTTGGAGGGACAGAAAGAATGATCAAGGGTGATTCTGACAAGGAGTTTGGCGTAATTGCGAAAGTAGGTGACCTCTGACAGAAATTGAAAATCAATAAAGTGCAGTGGAGTTCGTGATACACAGAGAACGAAAGTACCTCCTCTCTGCAGTTTTGAGGTTATGTTGCTCGAGACTGAGAAGGCAGAGCGTCGAATGTTCTATTTTCGTTTCGGCGAAAAGTGTTTATTCTTGCCAGTCGTAGGCGCGCGTTACACATTATAATGCATCTAAATGTGAGGAGAAGTCACGAAAGTGCCGTGAGATAGTACAAACATGGGCAGAAGAAAATCTCACGGATCATCTAAAAGTAAACAACACGTTCCACATCAAAGGCAATTATCCTTAGCGGAAAGAAACGAGATAAATGCCTTGTGCGAAAAACTATTCCTCCGTGAGTACATTTTCCGTGAACATACTTTTATATATCAATATATTTTTCTTATAATTATACTATTCTTTATACATTGGTTTAACACGATTGCAAAATATTAAATTGTCACATTAAATTTTTATTTCGTCACTGAAAAAGAAATTAAGATATTTCGATATTGAATATAAAATTATTTGATGAATTTTATATTGCTAAGAATCTAAAATTGATTAAATATGCATTCTGTTTAACCTCATAGTTCTTCAAATAGTCTTTCATATATAATTTTTTGACAGAATACTAATTAATGTTCTATCCATTCATGGTGTTGTAAAAAGTAATAATTTTTTTTTTTTTTGAAATAGTGAGCATTGATCCAACGTATTTGATGCAAATATGGGACAATTACGTAGAGATATCAGCAATTTTGGAGAAGGTTAAACGGTTGGAGGAAATGAAGACGGAGTCGCCGAAACGATCTCAGGGGATTGGACAATTCATAAACTGGCTCAAAGAAAATGGTGCGAATGTAGACGGAGCGAGTGTGGCTGAATTCCCGGGATACGACTTAGGCTTAAAAGCGGAACGTAATTTCGTTGAAAATGAATTGATCTTAAGGATACCTAGGGAACTTATTTTCAGTATTCATAATGCAGCCCCAGAATTGATTGTTCTTCAAAATGATCCATTGATACGGCATATGCCACAAGTAGCACTCGCGATTGCGCTTCTTATTGAAAGACACAAAGAATATTCGAAATGGAAACCTTATTTGGATATCCTTCCTACCACTTACACAACCGTGTTATACATGACCGCTGCCGATATGATTGAACTTAAAGGCAGTCCGACATTAGGTAAATGTTTATACAATTTTTCGTGAAAATATATTTATGTTTACTTTTTTAATCAGTTTAATTTTTGAAAACTTTATTTTAAACTTTGAGAAAATTTCATTTTAATAATAAAATATTGATATGATTTTTGTTGTAGAGGCTGCTTTGAAACAATGCCGAAATATTGCTAGACAGTATTCCTACCTTAATAAGGTTTTTCAAAACAACAATAATGCTGTGTCTGCTATCCTCAGGGATGTCTTTACCTACGAAAGATATTGGTAAGTAATGGAATTACAATTGTAATATTTTCGTATTTTATATAAAAGGTGATTTATTTCGCTTATGAGTTATTTATATAAATAAATATATTTTATTCTACATACATAAGTTTGAAAGAATAAGTTTACAATAGCAGAAAAATATATTACGTCTTCTTATGTTAGGAAATGTTCCAAAGTAAAATCTTATATGATATAGAATTATACGAACTTAGAGTGTTAAATTATGATTTAAATTTTGATAGTTATCAGAATAATCTATTAGAAGCTCTATACAATCGTATGTACAATCATTTGTGTCTGTAAAACTGGTATACAGACATAAGTTCCTACAGAAACATTATCGGTAATAATTAGGGGTCAGTCCCTTGCAGTATTTTACACCTTTTACTGAGTATGATCTTTAAATATAAAATATACAATCGATTTTTAATATGTATTTACTTGAACTTAACATAAGGGTGAAAATACTGCATTTCTTTTTTAATCAATGTTGTAAATGCGTTCAAGTTGGTTTATTTCATATAATCAGGTATGGTCTCCCAGCTATCATTTGCATCTAATGAGTCATTATCAATGTCACTTTTGGAATCCATTTCACCTATGGATTCCTGGGTTTCGTTTTTCTCAGGCCTTTTTGTTGTTGACGTGGCGACTACATTGACCATTACAGTGCTTAGGCTACTTGAATTTGATAACTTCCTGACCGCCATTACTGGACCTTGAAACACTGCTCTGGAAAAGGTATTTCTATATCGATATTTTTGTTTTTGTCGAATTCTACACACAATGAATATCGCTAGGAAAACTACAAGAGTTACACCAAGAATAGCGCCACTTGCTATTATGCTTGGTTTCACTTTTGACAGAGTTTTTCCTTTTTCACTTTTGTTCTCATCTTCATCAAGAATGTTGCTAGTTTTACTGTAAATGGTCTGAATATCAATAGAACTTGGCTCTTGCTTTACAATCTCCTTAACAAAACCAGATTGTACAACATTTGATGTATCGTTGATGTCTATTGTTTCTGCAGCGTTGTTTATGAATACCATGCCGAGATTGCTGTTCTGTACGAGCAACTTCTCCTTATCTTCGGTATTGTATTGATCCACAAAGTCCTGTTGGATGTCCTTTATGAATGGCAAAGAACCGAAAGTTGTCAACAGATCAACAATCTGCACTGTACGATGCTTTTCCTTTGTGTCTGCCATCACACTGTCCATCTTTGTAGAAGTATCAAGCTCTGAACCTTCATTGTTGATCTTTAATTCTAAATTAGGCACCAATTGTTTATTTATGCTTTCTTGAGGATGAACGAAATTTGTCAGTGAGTCACTGTTTTTAAAATTTTCAGGTGATTGTGATAAGTAATTACCAATTCCTTTATTGTAGTTCTCATGATTCGCAATTGTTCTTCTTTCAGTAGGTAGATTCTCTTTAGATGGCAATGAATTAATTATTTCAAAATTATTTGTATCTTTTATTTGGTAGCCATCATTTGATTTTTGTGCTCTAATTCGCGATGCTTCAGCTAGATGAACCTTACTAGAGCCTCTTTGTCTTAATGCAATCAGTTCCTCTAAGCTCATGTTTCGTGATTTAAGAAGACGCTCTAATCTCTTTCCACAGAAGCAAATAATTCAAAGATTTCAGCTCGAGCTTCTGGTTCTACTTCTGATATAATGTCATCGTAGCTCTTTTTCTCAGTTGTGTTTATATTATCACTTTTTGAAGTATTATTATTATTCTTTTTCACAGACAGATTCATTGCAAGTGTTTGATGATTGTTTGTTGTGGAAATATGAGACACTGTATCCAGTGTAGATGCTATATCCTTTATTATTTCCTTGTTCCTATCATCTTCCTCACTCTCATTACTAACCTGTGTGCTCTGTTCTAGGTCATAGTACATTATCGGTGTATCACCCTGATATTCTTTCTCAGAAGAATTACTATAATCTTTCTCAGAATATTGGTCCTCATCTTCAAATATCCCACTACTGTTAACGTTAATTGAATCAATAAGAAAGTGTTCTTTATCTTTAAAGCTAACAGACAAGTTGCTCGTTGACTTTGAGCGTTCTGTAGGACTTAATATCTTCTCGATGCTCAATGTTGATCCTTTGTCCTCAAAGTGGCTCTTGGAACTGTCAATGGAAGGGTTACTGACTTCTCCATCCTTCATTATAAGCCAAACAGGAGACACACCGCTTCGTCCCTTCTTGTAATCGGTGAAATCAGAGAATTCCATGATTTCATCCTCGTCTAAACTCTCGGTTCTGGTTTCATCACTGCTTTGCGATTTCACGACGGCATCATCAGCTTGCACGAGTTCCATGGAATTCGTTGCAACCGGCAACGGCATCCGTGTCGTAATCGTAACTTTGCTTTGCGGAGGATCAAGGCCGGTGAGACTTGATTTTGCAATTGTTGCATTTTCAGCTCCTGAATATATTTTACTGTCATTCACTCTACTTGAAAATGATCCTCTTGTGCCTGTGTGGTTCTTGTATAAAGCAAGATTCTTGGGAACAATCGAAAATACAAATTCTTCATCTTTCCGAGAATTCTTCGCTTTTACAGATTCCGTGGCGAATGTCCATTGTGGTTTCCTCGTAGTGGATAGTTTCACAAACGAGTTGGATATCATCTTTGCTGCTTCTTCAACGTAATCTTCAGTCTCTTCGACATCTTGCCTCTTCAAAGCGTTGATCACATCGGCTTTGCCCTTTAACAAATCATTTAGAGTCAAATTTCTCTGTTGTAGAATCTCGGATAAGCTTAAACCTTCCTCCTGTTGCATTTTCAATAGAGATTTCAATTCCATAGCATTTTGTAAAAATGGAGCGTTTTTAGAGGCCATCTGCTGAGGACTTCCTTGAGTATTTGCTCGAGACCAAGGTCCAGAATTACTATATGTTCTCTCCTCATTCAACGATGTCTCGTTTTCGGCTAAAGCAAATTCATAATTTTGTGGTGGCCTTCTTTTTCTTGGTCGAGGTTTTAAGTACTCTTCGTCATTGAACTCATGCTCGTAATCATTCGGTCGTACTGGAAAAAGCTCTCGATACCTAGTTGACGTTGTTTCTTTATCCTCTTTAAAATCTTTATTTTGCTCTTCCTTTCTATTGCTCGCTTCCTTCATAGTAGCCGTATTTTCGCCAGTCCAGGGTCGATTTCTTTTTCGTGAAAAGACTTCTTCCCGTTCACGATACCCTCGCCTGCCTTCTGTTGATTGGTAGCCTTCATAATTGCTGTAAGATAATGGAGGGTTATTCCTTGAACGATGAGAATCTTCTTGTCTGTTGTTTTGACGATACTTTGCTCTACGATGATCGTAGTCATCCTCCTCGCTGTTGTCTATCTTGTCCCTCGAGAATCGGGAGAATTGGGAAAATGGCAGCAATGGTACAGTGTCGCCATCTCGCCACTTCGGTTCGAGAGCCTCGCCGTTGTTTCTCCATTTGCCGACCAGTTCAGCCGCGTGCTCGTCTATGATTTCCAACCGACCTCGAGTCTCCTTCTAAAAATAATTTAATGTTGATAAATCCTCGCTGGATCGAATTACTAGATGTGTGGAAGGCTGAAATAACAGATTCTTTTAGCAGATTCTTAGAAAGTGCTTCGCAAAAGAGAAGCAGTAGCACGTGCTTCGAAGAAATTGAAAGTTCAATTGTTCGTTCAGTGGTAAATTGAATATGGAACATAATTCATTACCTAGAAAATATTGCGTCGTTTTGTTCATTCTTATTTACTTTTAAATTATTTATTGAAATTAATTATATCTTAGTTGATAATTTAGTAATTACTTGATTTCTTCATATTCATCATAATTGTATATTCTTTAATTGTTTGCGTTCTTTTTTATTTCAGTTCAGTAAATTTTGAAATGCACAATATTTTCTAGTACAAGGTTATTGAGTATGTAGAGACTTATACTTCTTAACTGAATAATATTCTTGAACGTTTTTATAACTTGTGAAGGCAAGGTTAGGTTATATTGTACTAGCTTGCGAATTTAATTGAGTTGTAATAATTTTCCAATACTAAATAGAGTGGAGGGGAAAGACATAGATTATTGAAGGATACTTTATAATACAGTGAAATCTATTGAGTCTATATTTTTTTTCTTTTCTTTTTTGTAATAAAGTTGCATGTTAAGTATGCTAAAAAATTACTTCACTGAATGTAAAATCATTGTAAATATTTTCTAATGTGCTTGTACAAGGTTTTTCATGATATTGTTTATATAATTTACATAAATTTCTTAATTTTAGTAGAATTTATGCATACAGAATATTGATGGTAACTAATTTATAAATATGTATAATTTAGGATTAATTAATTAACTTATTTAGATGAAGTTATAAATCAAGTTAAAATAAAAAGAAATGTTATTCCATAATGACAAAAACTTGTGATATTAAATTAAAAAATTGTACTATTAAATTAAGTAACAATAATGTAAGCTGGAAATTTGATAATACTATATAAATAATTAATCAAGATCAAATTAATATTTCGTACAAAGCAAAAAATACAGTTTCACACTAAAGTAAATTTTTTAGGAGAAGATATACGGTCACGTTAAGAAAGACTCCATTAAACCATATAACATTTTCTTCTAGCAATTTCTCTGTCTTCACTCACAGAAGATTTATAACTTGTCCCAATTTCTAGAATCACCCTATACACATAACCGCACTTTTTCTGAACATCATTCAAATTAAATAGAATAGTCTGAGGATCAACATTAAAGAAAGTTGACGTCTTGAGTATTCCATTGAATTTTAATAGCAAAATATTTTTCTAACATCATGTCGTTAATATGCCGTGTAGCTTTCTTAACCCTATAGTTTATAAACAAGGTTAAGCATTTCTTAAATCGAGTATAACAATTGATATAAGAATTCAATTTTAACAAATTTTTTCGTAACAAAATATAGTTTCTGATACCATTTCAAAGAATAATGAAAATTCTCCATCTTTTCGTATTTCAT